ACAAAGAAAGAAGAAAATCACACTTAGAGCAACAACTATAGAATATGTCATTTATGATTTTTTACTCTTTTGAAATATATTTTATTTTATTTTATGTGGGGGGGGGGGGGGGTTTTTATCATTTTTTTTTTTTTTTTTGAGGGGGGATGAATAGGTCAAGTTAACTAGTATTGAGAATGGGGGAGTGACCACTTTAGCAGAACATTGGGTTGGGATAGTCTACTTTACTTCCCTTTATCCGTCCTCCTATACCTCTAGGGCGTCAATAGTCGATAGAGCTGGGATAGTCGATTTAGCTTAAGAACAGAGAGTTGAATAGGAATTTCAAGAATTTCAATGGCACAATTTATCCACTTTCCTCTGACAAAAAAAATGTAGACTTGCTCTAAATTTGACGCACATGGTTTCTGTTGTTTCCAATAGTATTACTCAGTGTTAACGAGAAATGCCAAGGAACATTGTTTGCTTATTGGTGTTTTACTAACTGTGTCAACGAAATACATAAACTCCAATCATTCATTATGAAGAAAAGCTCAGGCAAAATGAAAGAGAACTTTTGCTAATCACATTTTGAACAGGATATTTAGTTATCACGGTTTAGAGTAATATTCGAAAGGACGCAAGACTGGCTGTGGTTTGCTTGGGAGATATTTTTTGCTGTGCTCATGTCCACCCACGGGGAATGAATAATTTCGGGGGGAGGGGGGCTATTAAAAAGACAACTAATATGATTTACCTCAAGTAACCTTTATATTGCGGTATGATCACACCATGTACAAACGTTCGTTTTAAAGGCGTAATGTTCCTTTAGTTTACAAAAACTCAGTATACACAAGTGTGGGCATGTCATTTATTTCCTAATATTATTTCCAGTACTCGCCAACATTTTGAGATTAGTGCTAACAATTTTGTGAAAGGTATCATATTACTCAAAAGTGCTGGAAATATTTATCCCAAGGGTTATTATTATTATTATTATTGTTGTTGTTGTTGATGTTATTATTATTATTATCAGTATTATCAGTATTATCATTATTATTATCATTATTATTATTATTATTATTAGTATTATTAGTATTATTATTATTAGTATTATTATTATTATTATTATTATTCATAATTATTATTCTTCTTAGAAAATCATTTATTGGTCTTATTTTTTGGTGGGAGGTTGTGGTAAAATTATACCTAGGCTTTGATAATAAATCTTTACTCGAATTTCTAAAAAACACAAAAACAGAATCAAAAAGAAAACAAACCCTCAAAGCTATCTTACCCATTGCATTGCTTGTCATGACATTCTCCAGGACAGGTATACATCCGGTCCTAGTCAGGGCAATAGTGATGTTCATTCCCGCAGTGAACTGAATGTTCCAGGCATCATACATGAGTCCGCTAGGGCCGCCCAGGGTCGCGTTACCCTCGTACTGGTAGCCCAAGACAGCGTTAGACGCTGGGAAAGAATGTAGATTAGTTTAACTTTAGTAAGAGTTATACGGCACTTAGAGCCAGCGTAATAAGTGCCGAAGATTAGAGGTGTTACAAGAGAGTAACGCACACAAAAAGAAGGAGGAGAGATAAGAGCGAAGGATGTTTGATGAGAAAGAAGGAGCAAACCACTCTAAGGCACCCGCCAATCACCCACAGGAGAAGAAGAGGGGTCGCCTTACACGGGTGGTCCTCTTACATATTGTCAATATCATATCAATAATATTGATAAAGAAAAATAAAACAACGCAAGGCGATGTTTGATAAGAAAGAAGGAACAAACCACACTAAAGCACCTGCCAGTCACAGACCTGAGCGCTCATTTTCTGCTCCTCGAGCAGAGTCGTTGTTGGTAGTGTTTTACATCCGCATCAATAAAATATCAATCAAGTTTGTTGTTCTTATTGTTGTTGTTGTTGTTGTTGTTGTTGTTGTTGTTGTTGTTGTTGTTGTTGCTGCTGGTAAGGGGGGTCGGGGTTTTTGTTATTTTTTATTCTTTTCATTTTTTTA